AAGAATCATTGTCATAGAAATAGATAGGGGCACAAAAAAGAGGAATAAAATTATTTTTATGAGTAAGCTTCAAAATTTGGAATGTTCATGAATAAATAAATTATGTGAGATAAAGTAACAACACTATTAAACAAGTGAAAAAGATGTGCTTGAAGAATAAAAAAAAAGTTTCTACATGAAAAATAATTGATAGTGGAATAATAATATACAAGAAAAAATGAAATATAAGAAATGGTATAAAAATTAAGTTAAAAACAAAAGCGTACAGAACTGGGAAAAATATAAAATGACCCGTACAGAGTTTAATAGAACAATTTGTGATGGTAAAAAATTCTATTTTTCATTATTTTTATAATATATTAGATACTAAACAGAATGAAAAAGTGAAAAATATATATATAAACAATTAAACAAAGAAAAAAAAAAGTAAAGTGTATTAAAGATGAAAATAAAAAAAACACTTTTCTTAGAAGAAAATATTCAACATAGGTGAGTGAGCTATTTTGATAAACATTTTAATAAAATTTCTAAAAACACGATCGACCTTAGCAATCTTAATATCGTTAATAATAATAAAATGTTTTCTTTTACAGCCTCATTAGTAAAAAGGAATTTGATGAGGTTTTAAAAAAAAACTAATGGTGGAAAATCCGTAGGATTTGATAATAACCCAATCGAAGTGTGGGAATATTTAGGAGATTTGGGAGCCTATTGGCTTACTAAACTCTTTAATATTATTTTGAAAACTACAAAGATGCCTGAGAAGTGAAGAAGAACATTATGGTCCCCATTTTTAAGAATAGATTTAAGAATAAAGGGGATGCACAAGAGTGCGCAAATTATAAAGGAATTAAGTTGATGTGTATACTTTAAAATTATCGAAGAAAGTAATTGAATAAAGGTTAAAAAGTGATACAAATATTTCTCATAATCAGTTTAGATTTATGTCAGACATGTCTACTATGGAAGCTATAAATTTATTGAGAGGATTGATAAAGAAGTACAAAGAAAATAAAGATAATCTACATATGATTTTTAGTGATTTAGAAAAAGCATACCATAAGATTCCTAGAGAAGCCCTTTGAAGAGTTCTAAAGAAGGAAGGTGTTGATATGACTTATATTCAAATCATTAAGGATATGTATGTCACAGCTGTTACTTGTGTTCGAAAAGGAGGATTAACCAAATATTTTCTTATTTCAACTGGATTACATCAGGGATCGGTTTTAAGGCCGTATCATTTTTGTTTTAGTTATGGATGCTCTTACTGGACATTTAGAGGAGGAAGTACCTTAGTGTATTCATTTCGCAGATGATATCCTTCTTGCGGATAAGACTAGAGAAAGAGTTCAAGAAAAAGTTAAATTATGGAGGTTAACATTGGAGTTTGAAAGCCTTGAACTAAAACTGGATCCATGGAATGTAATTTTAGTGGTAGTAGCTCTAGTGGCAAAGTTGTACCTATAGTTTATCAAATCATTAAAATGTGCGAAAGTTTTAGAAATCTCGGGTTTATTCTTCAAAGTGATGGTGATATAGATTGGGATGTTAGTAGAATTCAAGTTGATTGGTTGAAGTGAAGGAATGCATCGGGCCTATTATGTGATAGAAAAGTACCTCTTGAAATATATATCTATATATATATATATATATATATATATTATAAGATGGTTATGAGACCTGCAATGTTCTATGGTGTAGATTGTTGGACTTTATAAAAGAAGTATAAAATAAAGTTAAGTGTTGATGAGATGAGAATGCTTAGGTGGACGAGTGACTTGACACTTAGAGACAAAATGTGAAATGAATATATCTGTGACAGAGTTGGTGTAGCTCCAGTGGCGGACAAGATTAGAGAGAGTCGTCTAAGATGGTTGGGTTACATTAAACGTTGACCATCTGATGATCTGATTAGGAGAGTAGATGTTTTTGATTCCACTTATGTTAAGAAGGGCAGAGGTAGATCTAAAAAAACATGGGCATATTCTAAAATGATCTTAATCTATTAGATTTAAATGAAAATATGACACTCAATAGAACACAATGATGAAAAAGAATTCATGTAGACGACTCCACTTAGCGGGATAAAGGCTTATTTGTTGTTGTTGTTATATAATATTTTCAAGAGAAACAAGTATTTGAAATTAGCTAGCTAATTGGGTTGATTTTGTGTTAACCATATCTAATTGTCTAGAGATTATAAATCTATAAATAGATTCCTGGGGCATGCAATTCATTCAACTATTATTCAAGACAATTCTATATTTTATATTTCATTCTTATATGGTAATTAAATGTCGAATTTCTTTGAAAATAGTGCAATAGGTATAAACAATAGTTGAGGAAAATTATCGCCTTCTAGTGGTGCGATGTCTTGAACTCATTCTCTTTGGTGATCTGTTTCATCTATCTTCTTAATTATTCAACAAATTCTATTTTCATATTATTTCTTATGCGGTAATTAGATGTGGGATTTCTTTGAGAATGGTTAAATTGGTATAAACAATAGACGAGGAAAACTATCTCCTTGTAGTGGTGTGAGGTCTTGAACCCATCCTCATTGGTGATTTGTTTCATTTATCTTCTTAATTATTCTGTTATTGGCTTTGCAATTATGATTTTGATAAAATTTGATACAACTGAAATTTCAGCTGCTATGAAAAAAAAAAAAAAGAAATAAATTGCTCCTCAATTTTTGTGGATCAATTTCAATGTTACTACCATAAAGTTGAAAAGTAAGTTCCTACAATTAGATGAGCGGCACAATATTGAGAAATTATTAGGGTGGCTCAATAATTTGAAAGACATCTTTTAACATTATCTTCTACTTGACTTTGGAAAAACGAAACTAATAAAACAAAATTAATGAAAATTCATCAATTATTTTGTACAAGTGTTTTAAGGGAAACAAAATCAGCGTGGGTTGGCAAAAAACATCAACTTAAGAAGCATCATTTGCCCTGAAATGAATATAGAAACTAATTATAAAATAAGTTTAAAAGTTGTAAGCAAAGTAGCTCTAGTGTATTTGGATAATAGTCAGGGTTTGCACATATAATAGCAATAAGTGGTTTGCATCTATCCATTTTGATGCTGATACCAAAAAATATCCAACTCGAGAATTTAGGAATGAACAAAGTTTAAATAATTTCGGTAGTTTTGATGCAATTTCAAGTGAAACTAATTTGAAACCCACTAATTTTCCTAAAATTTGGCAGAAACATAAGAATTTCGGATAAAACTTAAAATTTAAACCTCATTTTTTTTAACAAAACTTCGTTGAAACTTTTAAGTGATCATCAAAGTTCTACAAAAGATCTATAACCTAGTCTCAAAAAAATTTGTGTTAAAACTTGAAAATAAAAAAAAACTCTTCATTTCAAACCTTGAATATATTCTTTGTAAAATAATATAAGAAAGAGAAGCAAAAAATTCAGCCGAAACAAAATTCCAAAACTAACTACACAACTACTAAAACAAAAAATTTTATTGCGAGGCAGAAACTAAAGCCAAATTTGAGTTGTAAATCCTTGTTTTCGATACTTTCTCAATGAAAATTATTTGCATATTGAATGATTACATTGATATTGATAATATTTTTATTCTTGATTCCTTCATATACCATTTTATAAAAGGAACCTTACGATGAGAGCTTGTTAACTTCTCAAGGAGGTTGTAAATAATAATTGCTTCAAAAAAGCCTTAAATTTAAATTTGTATATTTGGTCGATTCTAAAACTACATAATTCATCACAGCTAATTTGTTCGTCTATTCAAGCATATCATATTGGTTTGACTTAATTATTTTCAAAATTTCTGTATTATCTCGAGTTCTAGGAATTATTTCACATCTTTATTATCATTTTTAAGGACGCACATTAGTATGTTCATATTTTCATTAATTGTCTAATACTATATTAGTCATTTATATGATTTACCTTATGCGTATAAAAATTTCCAAGGCAATTTCAACTGTAATAATTATATCTCTTGCTGATGGGATATGTCAAGTTTAAATTGGGTGATAAGGAAATGATACCGTTTGAATCAGCACATGTTTGCTATTTTTAAATGAAAGGAAAATTAACTTTTTAAAATTTGGGAGTTGGTAACCTGTAAATTATGATTTTTTAAGTACTATATTATGCATTTTCATCCTAAATTGCATTAGAGGGCCAAATTCCTGAGGCCTACTACATCATTACACATTCTTCTATGTTTAGAATATGATGAGAATTTATTTGTAATCAAAGTTTTCGCTGAAGCAATCCCACATGAAATTTGGAAATAGAACATCATTATTCCTCCAAGGCCAAAAATAATTCAAGAAAATATATCTCATTTTTAAGGTTACATTTAAATAAATAATTAGATTGCAAGAAAGAACAACCTAATAATTGGTGCATGGGTCAAGTTCTTAAAATTTATCTAAGACCTACTTGGAATGAATGAATAAATTAATACCATCTAGTCAGATTTCTTCCATTCACTCCATGAAAATAAGAATAAAACAAGAAAATTTATGCCACGAAAAATAATTAAAATTATGTTCGTAGTTTATGACAAATATGGAAGAAGCTACAAGTACAATAAACCACATAATTAATTGTCCAAAACTATTTAAAATAAGCTAAGCAGTCAATAAAGATTTCTTCATAAAAGTATGAAATGGCAATGTCAACACTAAAACTTTTATGCTATGTAGAAGAACTAGAAACCACACTTAAGATAGCACAAATTTATTTCAAAAGGGGTATTAAAAAAATGAAATTAGTGCAAAGGTAAGTTGGAAAGCCCACTTTATTAATTAAACAAAACCATAATCCAGCCAAATAAAAGATAAACACAGACATGACAGCAGAACCATTGGAATTCAATTTGCTAAATAGCAGCACATCCATAAGGAAAAGAAAATGTCTCCATAAATATCAAAGGAAAATATTCCAAATTGACTGAAAACAACGTAAGTTATCATACATCTTCCTTTGAAAGACAATCACCTTTATAACCTACTGATAGCAGGCGGGGGCAGTAAGTAACAATACCCTGCGCGCATTAAAAAAAAGAACATGACTAGAACTTTGACATATTGATTGTTACAAAAGTCAATGAGCAAAACTGTTAGCATTTGCAATATTAATATATCCTGAAATTTTCCAGATGCTAGATTGGGTTCAGGATTAAGTTACAGAAATTCAGATGGTAAATATTCTAAACATGTCAAATTTGAACTTTTCCATGTGAAAAATTAGTAATATAAATCAGAGGGGTAGATGGCACCAGCTGAATGAGTATTTAACAAAAATGAAGCAAAACTATAAGAAAGCCCAGACATTAAGGTGAAATGTCAAGCAAGAAGCAATACTTGTTCCAAAATAAAGCACAACCACAACCAGAACAACAAGAGGATAATCAGAAAAATTCTTGAAGAAAGTTGATGTTCATCATTCATGTTTATATTTCATGTTTGAACAAAATTACACTGGCCAACCATTTTTTTATACTAGTGGCTTAAAATGACCAAAAACAGAAAGTATTATGAATGTTAATTTAGCACAGCATAGGTATTAATGATAAACATCAGATAAATGACCAAGTGAAACACATGAAGCTAAAACTATTTTGAAGAACATTCCAATAGGTGGATAGGCTCCTGGCAATTAGTAATGCCTAAGACCCATTTTGAGTGGACTAAGCTAAACCAAGTCGGAACACATGATGTGGAAGCCACCGCTCCATAAAGTAAACCACAAATAATTCAGTAAGGCCAATATTGATTGTGAAATTATAAAGATCAAGGATTTATATTGATTTCAATGTAATTGTCTGAGACAACCACAAACAAGTAAAACGCTAAGATACCAAGAGAAATGCTCAAGGGTTAATAGAAAAGATGAACTGCCGTTATGAAAGTTTTCACTTTTCACTTTCACTTCTTTCCCGGTACCCATGAGATGTCCTTCAAAAAATTGCATCAGTACCTGCTGGATGCAATTTCTTAAGCGTCCAAACTACACTGGGAATGTGTGAACCGAGAACACTTGGCAACTTTGGTAGGTATCTATACAAGCAAGTAAATAAATATGAAGTAAAACAAATGGATACGGAGACCTATATCACCCTTACCTACCAAACTCATACAATCCGTTTTATAACTCTCCTATTTGATCCTGACAAGAACTTCAAAAGGTAATGCTCAATTACATTTCTCTTGTGAACCATTTATAGAAGAGTTTTTAAAAGAAAGAGAATTTGAATATAAAATACTTCATCAATCTACTTCCATTTTTTGTAGCAAAAATACAGTGTTCAAATGAATCAGTTGGTGAGTCCTAAAAAGAGAATGTTCTGCTAAAAAATATCATAAAAGATGAATTCGGAAAGAACAAAGCACATCATCATATTGGAGATTCTATTGGAATAGCACTTAACAAAGGAAACGACATTGGAATATAATGAAATTAAAATAGCATGTACAACCGGCATGAAAAATTATTATTAAATACACAAGTTATATAAAATTATTTTTTTATAATATTGCACAACTCTGAACAAAGATTATGACGATTGACGAAGGTGGGTGGCCCTTTGATGGAGGAAGGTCCTAACCGCCTTCTAAATTTATTATTTTTTTTTATGACCGGTCATAAAAGCCTCTAAGTTTTAAAACTAAAATTTTCTAGAAACAAAAATTGAAAAACAAATTTAATTATTTCTTCTTGATAGGGCTCTTGTGATGGGCCTTGAAGGGGCTCTTAATTGGGCATTCTCTTGGGCTCTAGCCCGGGCTCTTGTAAGTGGACCTTTGACTTCATTTACATGATGTGAATGCATGAAAATTCATAAAATAGGAGAAAAATCAAATATGCAACCATGTACATTCATATTATTCATTCCTATGCACAACGTTGAGAAGGGGAGCCTAAGACACAAAATGGTATTTCACATCGGTTCAAATTTCTAAAGAATTTTGCCTAGATGTTAACATTTACATTCTTTAAAAACCTTTCTAAAACAATGCTTGCTTGCTATGACTCGTGGTCGCATGATAGATCACATGAGTTTCCCAAGCATGTACGTACGCACGCACGTACACACACACACACAAAACACTAGAAACCCATCCCTAACGCAGACAGTTTTGGGATTCCAACATTTAGAAGATCATAATCTAGAAATCCATCCCTAACAAAAAAAAAAAAAGCTAGGTTAAATAACTTGCAGTGTTCGGAAGTGTAAAGCAAGATCCTTGATGAACATTGACCTCTCAAAGTTTCACCCTATGCCAACATATGAATTTAGGTGGGAGGTTCAAACACAAGAAGAATCAATTAGGTGGGGTTGATTCAGAAAGGAAGAAAGAAAAAGAGATCAAAATTTTTTTCGGGTTGTTTTGACATTTTAATACAAGTTGGAGCTGATACTGAAGGAACGGCCATCATGAAATGCATAACATGTGTGAGGACTTCAACAATTTGCAAACATAAGCCTACCTCAAATATTCCTATACCTCAGAAAATTGAATTTTGTCTTTTTTTTCACATGCTTATGTTGCGGAAAAGATATGAATCCAACAAATCATAGTGTGAGAGCACTTCAAAATTGTCTCTAAAAAAAGCAGAAGGTGTGTGTAAAATATATAAATCCAACAAATCATAGTTCGAGAGCACTTGCACTTAATTGTCTCCAAAAAAAAGGAAAAGGTATATGCACCAAAATTTATACATAAAAGAGCACCACATTCCTCCCAAACTTAGCAGTTCTATATAAGCATAAAGAAAAAACTGCACAAAAAGGAAAGGCTAAGTTTTATAATCAAGCATACCTGTGATGTTTCACCACTTCGATAAAGCACATCCATGTCCAATGATGAACCCATGTAAATGGAATCGACCAGACGTTCTTCAGCCAACCCAAGCAACTCATCCTTCAGTTTATGAAGACATTAATAAACAAATGGCTAATTCCAGAGAAGAAATAGGGTATTTAGAGTCAACACAGTGCTTTTATAAATAACATGTTCCTTATTGGGATGAAGAACATTAGCAAAATAAATTTGTATGTAAATATATAAACAAGGGATGAACAAAGTAATATTAAATACACAGCTGGAAGCGTGCAACTCCACAACAACAACAACAACAACAACAAAGCCTTAATCCCACTATGTGGGGTCGGCTACATTTGTTTTTTGGAAGCGTGCAACTCCAAAAAACAAAATTTGAACAATATTTTATCGAACTAGTATAAGATCGTAAGTAATAAAGCAAAACAAAAGCCTCAATAAATGCTTTACTATTGGTTGAAGGTTGAAATTTAGACCCTACTCAGGCATATACACGTAGGCGGGGCTACTGATGTCGGAGTTAACCAAAACAATAATAGAAAAATCAAATATGAGAATTGAATTCAACTAAGGGGTTAAAACCACACAAACATAAATAGATAATAGCAACAAACACGACATATGACATGCTGAAATAGGAAATAGCAACACGGCACACAAACCACTACTAGGGTGGATCTCGGGTGGTGATGGTAGCTGGTAGGGACTTGAAAAGAGGTGGCAAGGTAAATAAGGTGCGGGACTGCGGGGAAACAATGAGAAGACTGTGTCAGCTAACTGTCCTTGGCAGCAGCAAGCAACAAATGGTTATAACCGACAGCAAGAATAGGCTGTCCCGAGGTGCTGGAATGAGGGAGGATAGTTGCAGGGTGACTATTTGGGGCGATTGCAAATTCGGGAGAGGAGGTGGCTGGGAAGGAAAAATACTGCAGGAAAACAATGATTTTTCTGCAGTTCCAGGTGGCTACAGTGAAGAAAGTAGGCGGGAAGCGATGCGAGGAGGGTAGAGGATAGCTATGTGGGGCACCAGCAAGGCTGGCAGGGAGGTGGTTGGAAATGAAGAAACTGAAGAAAACAACAATAAAAGCTGTTGTTGCGGATGGCTACAGTGAGGTACGGCAGCGGGGATCGATGTGGGAAGGGTGTGGAAGTTTAAGAAAAGGATTAACACCACCTCGAGAGCGAGATACAACTAGATCACCACTTAGACTCTTGGATGCGGCTCTCAAAGAAAGAAACAAAGAAATCGGCGACTATCCCAAACAAATCACACAAAAAATAACCTAAACCCTAATACAATACATATATATAAAGACTAGAAAGGAAGGAAAAGAATGGAAAAATATTCAATTTGGTTTTGTCTCGATTGCACGACCTAGTTGCCTGATTCTCGCGGATAAAAGAGTTGTGTGACTTTGGTCGCGTGCGGCAATTGTCATGTCTTTGACTTCCCGCGCCCCACTTTAGTCTCCAAGGTTAGGAGAGCTTCGACTTTATCTGCTGAAGCTTCTAGCTCCTCGTAGTGTAATATCAGATCAATCATGTTGAAGGTGGAGTTACTATAACTTCCCGATAAGTCAATTTTGTGGGCGTTGACATTCCAGAGCACATCTTGATTGAGTAAGTTTTCATCCTTCTTTAGTAAAACCACATATAGATATAGATTCTCATAATGTATCTCTCAAGCCATTAAATCTATAATGTGGACCCCCCACTACTCGTGATCGGCTGAATATATCGGATTAATGAGTATGTCAAGAGAGATCAACTCTGGAACAAAATCTATGGCAGCATACACCACATTGAAATATAACCGCTCAAAAGACGTCTCTTCTTCTTCTTCTTTGAAATGACCAAAATCCCACTATAGGATGTTGTTTCCCCCAAAAATCCTAAGGCAATTTCCAACATTTTAGTTCATCTATCCTGTCTGATCATTTGTTAGTGGGGTGCTTTGTTGAACAAGTTTTAATACTCAAATGACTCCATTAGGTCTTCTAGAAGTTGCTCACAAGCTTCTCATTTATAAAATGTTGGACCTTCCTCAATAAGGGCAACTAAAGAAATAAAATATATATCTGAAAAAGTTGAAATTCTTTTATTTGGGGTGTTGAAATGTGTTAGTTGTCGGTACCTCGGACTTAGGATTCTCCTGGAAAAAATGTTAATTCAATGGGAATCTCTCTAATGAGCTTTAGCTTGAACTATATGCATTTCTCCGTCATCAATTGGAATCAAGCACTCTTCTTTTGTGTTCTCACCTTCTTCAATATCTACCATGTCATTGCTCATTTCTTCAACAACACCCTGCTTGGTGAAATAGAACATTCTCTTGATTGTGCAATCAAATTCAATATGCCAAAATCTGTGGCACTTGAAACACTTCTGGGTTGGGACAAATTTGGGAATGTGAATTGGATCCATCTGTTTTCCCCTTTGAACAAGTGTCTACTCAGGTAAGTTTGGCCTAGATATTTCATTGGATGTACTCTTGTTGCTTAATCTTGGGTTTGAATAGTCTGTAAGATATGATGGTCAACTGCGGATGTTGTTGTAACCCATGGGTCTTACGCACATATCTTGTCGATAATGTGTGGGTGGGTACTGGCGCTAAATTTCCCTTCTGATCTAGGATCAAGTAGTAATTTTAATCTTCCCTTCTCACTATCCAAGAACCTTCAAGTTTGCCCACCAATGAGATGGACTAACATCACCATTTTGTTCGATAGGATGTCCTGACAATCAAAGACACATTGCAAAATACAGAGCCGTTCGATGAAATCGTCTAGATTCATATGATCGTCAAAATATGAAATCCACCTTTACTTCAAAATCCCGACTTCTCCAATATTTCATGTCAAATCTTCGGGGCAGTGGTTCTTTATCAAGGGAATCTAATGGAATTTGCGTGACCACTCTAGATGGTCTCCTTTCAAAGAAGGCAAGCCTTCATTGCAGTTAACGGGTTGTCCATTGCACATCATTCCTGGAAATCTCTTTATGGATTTTTCATAAAAGGTATTATCATTTCCCCTCGATCAGGCTTTTGGCTACTGTTTCCTCAGTGGTTTGGGTTTGGGATTGGGATTGGTGAAAGAGGGTGTATAGGGGTTGTGTAGGGCGAGGAAGAAAAATTTTGGGTGTCCAGTTTGGAAAATCAACCAAGAGAAGAGTTTTGAGTTGAAATAGCGTTGAATATTCATGGATGAAAATGGGGAAACAACAAGAATCAACAACAAAAGCTATTGTTGTGGGCAGCTACGGCGAGGTACGATGATGCAGATCGATGTGGAAATGTTGTGGAAAGGGTGTGGAAAGTTGGGGGAAGGATAAACATCACCTCAAGAGCGAGATACAATTGAAGAACCACCCATGCCCTTAGATGCAACCCTTGAAGGAAGAAAAGGAGACAGCATGCAGCTATCCCGAACAAAACACATCAAAAAATATAATTCAAACCCGAATACAACACATATATAGGAAAGGACTAAAAAAAAGAGGTGAAAACTAACTATAAATAGAAAAAAAAACAATGTTCGGATCGGTTCTGTCACACTCGCATGACCCAGCTGCCCAATTCTTGTGGATATAGAGTTACGTGACTGTTTTCGCATGTGGATCTTTTGACGCCTATACATTGTAAGCTAAAAAAATTAATCATTGTAAGGGGAGCGAAATGTACAAAATATCCATATTGGTAAGAAACAAAATGCAAATGTCTAATCACGTGCCACTCATATTGTTTTCGAATTCACACAAAGCTAAAGACTATATAACATACTCATTACACAATAGTGATGAGATAGATCCGATGCACAACGAAATTTGATTTAATATTCTGATAGCCAACAAAAGTTAAAAAAGTAGACATTGAATTTTAATTGTGGAAATATTTCTCTTAGAGGCTTGGTTAATCCCCCATTGAGATCACCCACTCCATCCCAAGTGCTTCTTGATGCCTTTGAAGCTTATCCTCTTCCTTCCTCTCTGATGGTTGAGCCTCTTCAACACCATCCCTGCATTTTTATTGCAAATATTGTTTAAGATTTAAATGCTAAAGAATTTATCACCTCACTCAATAATTCATCACTTTTATTTCATCAAAATTCAACCATTATTAAAGATAAGCAGCCTGCATCATTTCAAGGCAAGCCCATTTTTCTCTTTTCGGGTGAAAAAATTTCTATGTTGTCAGACATTTCGCACTCTCGATTATTTGCAAAATTTTTACGGGTCACTCTAGCATAAAAGTAATTCACAAATTTGTGACTGATTTACAATCGATGAGTGACCATTCAGTTAGTCTCATTGACCCTCATGTCATCATCAGGCTTACTTCAGAAGCAAATTATATAAGACTTCTCACAACATTCTTATTATATCAATGACCTCACATTATGTGTTAATATAGCCCCCTATTTTGATTATTTTGTAAGACCTATCACTCTAGTTTAAATCTCATTCCCATGGCTTTGGTTGCATTATTTTAATCAATTTATCTTTTCGTTTGGGCTTCCATTTTTGGAAATCTTTTATTGGTGAATGCTCACAATCGATAAGTGACTCTTCGGTTAGTCTCATTGTCATGTCATCATCAAGCTTACTTCAGAAACAAATTATATAAGACTTCTCACAACATTCTTGTTATATCAATGACCTCTCATTGTATGTTAATATAGCCCCCTATTTTGATTATTCTGCAAGACCTATCACTCTAGTTTGAATCTCAATCCCATGGCTTTGGTTACATAATTTTAATCAATTTACCTTTTTTTGTTGGCTTCCATTTTTGGAATGCTTTATAGGCGAATGCTTACAATCGACAAGTGACTATTCAGTTAGTCTCATTAACCCTCATGTCATCATCAGGCTTACTTCAGAAGCAAATTATATAAAACTTCTCACAACATTCTTATTATAACAATGACCTCCCATTGTATGTTAATATAGCCCCCTATTTTGATTATTCTGCAAGACCTATCACTCTAGTTTGAATCTCATTCCCATGGCTTTGGTTGCATTATTTTAATCAATTTATCTTTTCTTTTTGCCTTCCATTTTTGGATAGCTTTTATAGGTGAATGCTGCAACAACTCATTACTAGGCCATATGCGGCTAGTTTTTTTGTGGAATTAGATACCCTTTTGCATAAGAAAATATGGATCAGGCAGGCTTCTTCTAGTAACAAAAAGTGAAGTTTGAAGATCAGGCAGCCTTCTTCTAGTAACAAAAAGTGAAGTTTGAAAACATTCCCTTATACTGCTCATCTTGTCATATTTTTGGTATAAATTCTCTGAATGCTTGCTCATCGAGCTGAGAAAACATCTATTTTACTTGAAAAAAATTTCAACTCATGTTCATTCTGGTCCTTACAATTTGGTGGAAGATCCCTCCTCATCTATTCTAGTTTGTTCCAAAAATTTTGTGTAAACTTCGGATCTTCTATAGGGTGTAGTGGAAAATAGTCATCTACTGATCTATAAAAGACATCATATAGTTATTGAAACATATCATCCTCTTCTCATTGGTGAACAAACAAGAATTATTTATCACAATATATTTCCAATTATGATAAGAGTTTTTAGAGTGTTGACTCTCTATAAAAGACATCATATTCTTTATACTAAAAGAAGAAGGAATAAGAAGAAAATCTGTAAGCATTTTCCTATTTTTACTAAGCTTAAAATTACGCAGGCCAATGAATTCTTTAACTTCTTAATGATATGTCCTAGCTCCCAAAAAAAATACTTCAGAATACAGCAATATACACTTCAAAGCATTTCAGATTGTATGCATTGAAATGTACATATATATCAGTAAAACACAAGTAAAATTCAATTAGATATATTTTTTACATATTATGCTATTACTTTTAATGATTTTACATAACTAAACAAATTCCAAGCATTTGTTTAAAAACTAAGCTCCATCTTTTGAATTCCGACCATTTGTTGTGATAGTAGCTGAAACACACACACACACAAACACATAGATGGATGACGAGTTGTCCACTCTCATTTTATGGATTGAATCTAAGTTCAATGTCATCATTAATTTCAGATATTCAATAATACAAATCTTTATATGTCCTTAAAAAACAAAAAAAAATACAGCAAATAAAATACAACAACAATAAAACCTTTATCCCACTAAAACAGCAAATAAAATGAGGAATCTCAAGTAAACAACACTTATGGGTGGAAAAAAAAAAGAAAGATTTAAATATATGGAATCTTACCTATGCATGCGATGGTCTATTTCACTCTTAAAAGTTAGAATTCATGGTATTTTATGGTATTTTTTATAAGATATGATTTTTTATAAGATATGAAAGATTTGGGTGTATAAATGTAAAAAAGTAAAGTTTAGATGGTAAAAACATAAATATCTAGGAATTAGGTGATAACGCCCCAAAAATAAATAAGCAATGAAGAAAAACTGCCTAGGGATAATGAGAAAGAGATGATAAATTCTTCATTAAGATTTACACGAGCAAAATATTTCAGGATCTTACAAGCAATAATCTTTAAGTATAATTAAAATATAAAAAGAAATCTAGACAAATATTTTGTGTACGCATCAATAACCAAAAAGTGTTCAATTCTCTTATGGGAGTTGTTTTATTCTTATTTAGGGCTACTTAATGGTAGCTTGGTCGGCTATTAAATAAAACAAGAGACTGATGAAAAAGCTTTAAACTTGATTTTAAAAGTCAGATCAAATCAGCTGATGCAGCCAGATCAATTATCAAATGCTCCATTGGTCATCTCGATCCATTACTACTGTTGCATAATATCAGTCAACAATTCAAAATCGGGCGGTTGAACCAGTGAACTAGTTCGATTTTCAACGAATTTCTTAGTTCCCATATTGATCAATATTTGTCTTTTTATTTTGATTAGATGGATAGAAATAGGCATTTATATAAGTATATATATATATATTATATATACATACATACATACATACATATATATGTGAGTGTGAAGATAGATATATAGAATAATAACAATATCCTGTCACAAAATTTTGATTAAAAATTACATTCAAATTATTCAATGATGAAGTATCTTGATTAAAAATGTTATAGATTGAACTGGGGAAAGAATTAATATGATATCATTTAAATCAAGCTAAAATAAACTAAATATTTATTAAACCGACAAATTTTTGGTTTATCCTTGAGACACTCTACTTTTTGTTTGATGTTTGGTCTGATTTTTAAAGCATTAGTTTCAAATGGGTGATGAGTAAGGCCTAAGTAGAAAATTGTGTAAATTTCATCCTAGTTATAAGCCTCAATATATTGTTAATTTCAATTATTTTGTGCAGATAAAAATTGACGACTTTCTCAATAAATAATTCATTCATGTACTAACTATGCATCCATGCATATATAAATGCATGTTAATGAAAAAATAAATGCAAGTATGCATGCATCCGTGAAATGAGTCTATGCATTTATGGGCGCCAAAATATCATGTATGTTGCTCAGGAGGCTGGATCTAATGACTGTAATGGGATGAAAAATACGCCCAAAAAATTAAGGTGAAAATTAACTGAAAATGTAAACCTTGCAGCAGAAGCTGCAATGAATTGGATTCAGGTCAGACTTCAATCTTCATTGTACTAATAGGTATAGTTTTACAAAATGACTCTGGCAACCCTAATCAATCTCAGATAGTTAGAAACACACCGTCGGGTGTGGTTAAGACATAGCATTGACGGTTCCCCTTCCAACTGTGATAAAAATTAAAAGATCAAAAACAAAATGAATCTCAAATTAAACTTTTAATATCATCAGGAACAGAGCCACAGGTAACATTTTATTTATATAACGTTAATTCTTTTCTGTTCAACAGACAACAATGACTTTAGGAAATAAAATTGTGACGTCTGCCTGAAATGTATGTGATAAGAGTCATAAGACTGATGATAAAAATTATTATCCCAAATGATAACAAAAAAGTACAAGCTTATAAGAACATATAAGAGTCATCGAAGCAGAGGATTTGCATCAAAGTAAGATCAAAAAATTATCAAGTGCAGTCCGATATTACCTGAAAGTTCCAATAATGTGACCCTATATAATTGGCAAATTCACCAACTTGAATTGTCACAATCTCCCTCATATCTTCAACCAAAAACTAATATCAGAATATTGTTTCTGCTGCAATATCCAGTGGGAACAAAATTGCAAAGTAAACATGCACCAGAACAAGAAAAATCCCAGCCTGTATAAACAGAAAATACAAACTTGTGAATAGGAAAAAAAATAGTAGGTTAACTAAGAATTTGATAGTTCCAAGCAAAGAAATATCAAACTCACATTTGAAAGTTAAAAAAAATGATACAGAATAGGAAACTTCAGTTTAAATACTAAATACATGTTTTAGTTTGGGAGTACAATGCCCTCCAAATGCGGGTGACAAATGGTGAAAAGTTTCCACACGAAACAGAGCCAATAAGTCCCTCTTATATAGTATACACGCCTATCATAGCTTGATAGGCCTATCTACACAGATAAAGCATTATATTTAACTTAACATTCTATTAATAAAAAATAAAAAAAACTAAACTGGACAAGGGTTATACCAAACAGCTCAATTGATTGCTTTGTTGTTTTTCTTTTTTTTTTCCTCTCAAATTTCTTACATTGAAAATCACTAAACAATTATAAATTTGAAATTGATACTGACGGTGATTGAAGTTGTATAAACATAATAAGTTTATATGGTTCTCTACCTTAAAGTCAAAATTTAAAACAGTTTGGTAATTTAAATGAAGATTTAAAGGTCTAATAATTACCATTTTGTAAATATTTCAATATTTTAGAAGTAGAATTGGGTGTTTTAATTTTGACTCCATAAACTTTGGGTTTCAAGAGATTGAATGTTTTGGTAATTTTTATTCTTTAGTTCAGGACTTAAATTTCACATGTGGATTTAAAATCAATTGTAACTTAAGGAAAATATATAATCCGAACTCAACATTTCTGTTTTATTTATAATGCCGATTAAATTGACTCGTTCAGTTGCTATGTATTGTAGGTACATAGCTAATTCTTTTTTGTCATGGTAAAAATTTTTTGTGAATGTGCCCAATTTTCACAATACATGATACAATTTGTAAGCATAGCATGAATTATAATTTGAGGGAGGGCCAGAAAAATAATCCAAAAAAGAGTAATTTTTGGGTTAAAAATAATAACTCAACCCAAACAAATATAAAGATCGATAAGTGATATGTTTATATGCATTAGGTTTTTTAATATATTTCAGAAATTTTATGTACCACCATTTGATTTGATGGGTTCATGCAATGCTGTCTAGCAAACTAGTTCCAAGTTCATCAGTTTTCCAAGTAAACAACCCACCCAGAAATTTATTTTGGCTTCATAAATATTCGACCTGTGTGTAGATCATGAACTTGCCGGACTTCATATTTCCTTCACCGGCTATAATTTTAGCTGGTTCTACTCACTGATCAGCCAAACTGCACAAGCCCAAGATGGCTTAGGTTTACCACCAATGATGGCTCTGTAACTACATTATCTGAAACAAAAGCGCTTAGCCCCCTTAGTCCCATCCTAAGGTTTCTAGCATCCGCCCCACCCAAGCTATATCTACCCATTTTTTTCCCTTCCAATCCCCAACTCCAAACATGCCACTACGAAGAGGTACACCAGACTCTACTCGGGAAGATATCCAATGAGAAATTCATCATCTGCAATGGAGAGTAGTTGAGTTGGATGACGGGAACCAAGACCGATATCGGGAAAGTTGAAGGGAAGATAAGGACGAGGATCTGAATCCATTCCACGGGAAAGGCCACAGTGACAAAGAGTATCGACCACATCGTTTTGATATCCAATACCAAAGGAGGTTGAGGGAACATGCCACTTATGGGAGTCAGTGGAATTTCGATATCAAAATGAGCCTCCCTGCATTTGAGGGAGGAATGGACCCAGATGAGTTTTATCGACTGGCTGCAATCAATCGAGCGGATTTTCGAATATAAATACAAACCAGAGGACAAGCGAGTCAAGATAGTTGTCATTAAACTAAAGAAGAATGCCTCCTTATGGTGGGAAAATCTACAAACACAAAGGAGAATAGAAAGCAGTAAGAATATAAAGAATTCAATGCAGAAAAGGTACCTGTCACCCCAACAATGCTATGATATGTTATTGAAACTCTGCAACTTGCAACAGAGGAATCTTTCAATGGAGGAATTCACAGCCCAATTCGATCCACTAATAGCTAAAGTGCGAGCTGATAGAAACGGAAGAGCAGACAATAGCCTGATACCTTGGGGGACCGAAGCCTGCCAGTAACTGCAACCGTACTGGACGTTGTATGTCCAGACATTAGCCTTGAAGATGAAAAGACAGCAGAAGCAAAGCAGGCAACAATCATCTTTCTGGCAGCAATCTTCAAGCAGACAGTCACCTATAGTTACCACGACCGACAAAGGTATTCCGGGAGACACGGGCAAGCCCGGACAAAGAAGGGTAGCTCCTCCAACAAGATATTGACCAGAAAGTGCAACTGATACCACAACTACGGCCACATAGACTCCAATTTTCCCACAAGCAGAGTAGTCACACTCACAGATCAAAGCACGATGGAAGAAATAAGCGTCGAGGAGAAAGTTGAGGAACAGAGGACAAGAGGGATCCACAGTAGCTTCATCACAACATATTCTACACCTGTTGCACAGTAAAAGTTAAGGTATGTAGCCACATCATCGACAGCGAGAGCAGCAAGAACGTGGCATCGACACAGATGGTAGAGAAATTGGAACTTGTAACTTAGATATATTCCCAGCCGCATTCACAAGCATGGCCGAAGGAAAATTGAGTCAGCATCAGCCGAAGATGCTTGGTAAAGTTTTCGATTAGACACCAACTACAAGACCGAGTCTGGTGTAACGTGGTTCCCATGGATGACTGTCACTTTTTATTGTGACGGTCGTGGCAATTTGATCGAAGAGCTCAGCATGACGAATTTAAAAACATGTATTCTTTCACTAAGAACAGGAAGCTCATCACCTTACTTCCTTCGACAGAGCCTAAGGTCACCGGATTTCTTATCAACAAAGAAACATCAACAGGACCAGTTTTTGTGGTGACAACTAATGACTGGATTGAGATACCAGCTCCAAAGATGGGACAAATACAACAGAGAAGATTTCAAAGCCTCACAGTTGACACCGCACCAGCAGTCATGAGGGTGTAGGACACTCAACGCATCAAACTGGACCGCCTGTAAGCTACTTTGGGAATATTCAGCAGTACGTGCGAGGCATACAATCCCGAAAAATGGGATTGAGGTGGATGTTTGCTCGCAAGTGGGAGAAGATCCTTTGGTACCTCAGGAGAAAGTATAACCGCCAGCGGGATCCAGAGGTGGCTGACGACGAAACGGAAGCTTCGATCTATGACATCAAAGCTCCACCAACCCCGGGAGGCTGATGCTGAGCGCTAATAAGCGCCGCTTAGCAGGGCGCTAACAGCGCCCCTATAGCATGGTGCTAAACCGCAGGAGGCCAACCCGAGAAGCACCGAAAGCGGGAGAAGCAATGCAAATGCGAGAGAGAAATTGCAAACCATCGCAGCGGGTTGTCGCCCTTCCTTCGCTCCTCGTCTCTTCTTTTTATGTAGAAGTTTTCTTTGCCTAGTGGGAGTATAAATTATTGTCCTCTGTGAGGTAGTTAGTCTTGGTTGTTTTTGTTTTCAAATCTCTTGTGCGGAGTTTTTTTTTCCCTTTTGTAGGGTTGTATCCGAGGAGTTTGTGATGCTTCGTTTGTATCCTACTCCGATGTGGTATTGTATCCTCCATTTTTACCTTCCGTGACCCTTCTGCAGTCTTACCTTGTTGTCCGACACCTTCCCGCCACCCCAAAGCGCCAACACCTTTGCTAACATCGCTTCTAACTCACAAGTCCTTGTTGCTGCCGCCCCGGGACAGCAAAATTTTAGTGTTCCTGCCATTTTTGCCCCAATGTCTCGTTGTCGTTGCACTGCAGCCAGTCTAGTTATTCCTACAGCTTCTCACCTCATCTTTGTTGCTGCCACCCCTGCTAGCCATCTCAATCCGCCTAGCCGGCCTCCACCACCCTAGTAATACACTTGAGAGGTGTTTACTTGTGTCGTTTTATGTTTTGGTGTTGTTATTTTCTGTTGTATCATGTTGTAACTCAAAACATATATTAATAAAAGTTTTTTTTTGTGTTTCCACTGTTTTTCCTACTAGTCCCGGTGGGTATCATTAAGTTTTCTATGTGCAGTGTTTTATGAAGTTATGCAACATATTTCTCAAGAAAATCTCCCACAACAAAAAAATCAAATGTGATTATTTGTTTACGAAATATCATTGTATGCATCCATACACTTATTTCTGTCTTATTTAAACCATCATATGCTCATCTGATCTTGGAGTCTGATGGGATAAAATTGAGCTTTCAATAATCCTTTGAATATTGTCCATGTACTTTATAGTTTTTGGACAATGAGTTCCGCCAATGCAATGGAAGTGAGGATAAATTTAGCATGCAAAAGAAATCTTTTGCACATTAGTCAACTTCTAGATGGAGAACATGTCTATAAATGTTTCACAAAATTGCTACCTTGTCCACATCTATTGACCGATAATCTATTGACAGCTCTGATACCGCATCCAATTTTGAATTAAGACTTAAGAAGTTGGTGGCCTTTTGGCAGATTTTTCGCTTCCCTTCATTATCAGCTGGGCTTGTCTTAAGTCCCTGCTTTTCTCCTCTTTATGCACATTGTTCTCTTGCTATAAAATCCATGGCTAGCAGTACGAAAACTCATCCGGGCTTGGGACCTAAATGATGTATACAATATCACTTGCCCAATAAGCTTTTCCGCTAATGTTCATAGTCTATATAATCTAGAATTCTCCTACTTAATTATCCATAGAAAGTTCTCCAAGGTTAACATTTTAGGACTCAAGGAGGGTATGAGTTTTACACCTTAATTCACCGTTACTTTTATATTTCACTGCCTATAAGCTTTAGAATTATGTTGTAATACCAAAATATGATCATGAATTGAGATGGCTTTAATCAGAAACCTTCTAATGGTTCTAGATGGAGATGGAAAATAGCAATGCTCTAAAAACAGCCACAACTAGCCAGTTCAATCAGTTAAATCAAGAAAAACTTGATTCAGGAACGGTTACATAGCAAGTTTAGTTTGATTGAAATT